CACTTCTGATGATATTTTGTTTACTAAATGGATTCATAGTTTGCAAGGTTTAAAGAGTTTAGCCGAACTATCATGTGTTCTTGGATGTTCTGCACTGTGATATTGAAACAAGAGTTATCAAGGCATCTTTCTAGCTCTTCTAGGTTACATGAGCTCAACAATGTGATAGCACATGTTTAAGTTCGAATAACTTTTTCCGCTAAACAACCAGACTGATGATGTCTTAGAGCTGTAAATAGATTACGGCATCCAATATCAGTAATCCAACTGATAAACTCTTTTTCCATGAAATGGGTTCCTGTGGTGTTTGAATGAACTAATGACTCCTTTGTACTTGTTGAATGTTGGATTTCGAATTCTAAATACAGTACATTCGTTAGTGCTTGTGTGGTACTTCTTAATTCAATTGCGTTATCCCTGGGATTCTTAGTTCATACTATAATTCAAATACTTCTAATTATCATATTGGCGTCGCGATGGGGCCTGCGATGGAACAGTTAGATATTCATTCGGATTTTGATGCTTATGAGGATTATTTTGAAAGGTTCGAAATCTGGGCTATGACCAAGGAAGATGAGGAGAATATTAATATTGTGGCACATTTTCTCACATTCATCGGAAAAGAAGCATATAGCTTAATAAAAATTTTGGCTTTACCGGAAAAGCCCATTTCTCTTCCTTATATAACTCTCAAGGAACTACTTCTAGACTATGCTAAGTATACAAATTTCGAATGCGGTAAAGGGAGATTTCGTAAAATAATTCATGAGGATATAAAAAATTCTACTACATTACGTCGCCCCATCCCAGTGTATACTCAAGATTATGCAGATAATTCATTTGGGAATTGCGATGCAGTTGACGAGGATGGGCACAAGTTTGGTCAATGTTTGTGCTGTGGCAGGTTCCACCCTTTTAATTCATGTAAATTTCGTAATTGTAAGTGCTTTAAATGTGTTGATGTTGGACATATTCAGTCAGTTTGTAATACTACTGTTCATGTTGCTGCAACTAATATTAAGTCTTTTGATTCTGATTCTATTAATCTGAATATTTATAATGATCATTTATCTTTATCGACGATTTCAAAAGACAGTTTAGAGTCATATAGCAGTTCAGAGTTAAATGAAACTCAAGATTCTTGCGAGACAACAATTTCTAATGAATCAACCTATCAGATTTCTCATGTTATTGTACCAGATATGGTTTTTCCTAATGATTCACATATTTCTGGTGAAATTTCTTACAAATCTGGTGAAAATATTTCGAATAAACCTAATGATGATCAAAAAACTGATGTAGTTTTGATAGATGCTGATTTTTCTAACGATCCTTTACTCTGCAATGACATTCTTAATAAATTCGAGGAAACTATTTCAAAAGAATCGAATCTTGATGTCATATCAAATATTATTTGTCCTCATGATGCATTTGTTTCTTGGGAGAAACTTGTTCAATGCGAAGCACGAGTATTAAATGAGTTAGAGTTTGATTACAATTCAGATAATTCCATATCAACTGTTGTTTGTCCTTATCATAAATTCACTTCCAATGTTTACTCTAGTCAAATTGAGAAAGATGTTTTAAATGAAGCCACATTATTCATAACTTGGGGATATGAAGATCCGACATTATTTCGTGGGGGAGGATAGTCTGAATGTCTATGGTTCAAATTCTAGGAAGCAGTACTTTCAGTACTCAACCGACATGATGATTGTACACAATCCCAGAAATCAAGTGAGTCTGTTCCGATTTCAGTTGTTTATTCTAATAATAATGAGTGCATTCTAGATAATACAGAGTCTTTATCCAATACATTGTGTGACAGACACAGCATGAACTTGAGGAGAGGAAGACGTACAATTGATTACAGACACTTAGACTCTAATTTAAGCTGTGGCGGATGTGGTGTTTGAATGAACTAACGACTCCTTTGTACTTGTTGAATGTTGGATTTCGAATTCTAAATACAGTACATTCGTTAGTGCTTGTGTGGTACTTCTTAATTCAATTGCGTTATCCCTGGGATTCTTAGTTCATACTATAATTCAAATACTTCTAATTATCATAGTTCCATTGTCGGCTCCTGATACTTTTTTGGCCAATTGCTGAACATGAAGACTTTGTTGAAGCAAAACAGTTTGGAATATGTAAATTGTAGGGTAATTTTTTGAAATTAGACCTAACTTCCTTGCTGTCGATGACATATGTGTTGTTTCAAAGTGGTGTTATTATTGTTGTCCTTTTTGTTATTGCTGTCGAAATGTTTTTTTCTTAACTACTTGCGTAAATTTTAAAGAGTTTGTTGGGTATCTGTCAGCGTAAAAAGCAAAGAAATATAGTTTTTATGGACTAAAAGTATTTAATGGTGACTGCCTAACTTTAAGTACGGAAACTCCATCTAAACGTCTTGGACGCATGGTAGAATAAAAAGTAATTCGCACTTGCTTTTGCACCGACTGCTCTTGATTTGGTGTATAGGGCCTGTGGAACAATCTATACGATTTGTTCATGAACATGAGTCAAGTGTATATATGAAGAACTACTTCGTGTGCGTATCAGAACAATGAAGAATGGTAAACAGTGAACCAAGTTATCACGAAGCCTCACTCATACCTGGCTCTATGTGCTAGTCAGGTTTAAAGTTGGTGTGATCAAGGCGTAGAATTGTATTGGATAACTCAGGTACATTATGACGAGCCAACTATACTACATCAAGTAGTCTAAATGGGTCAGTGAATATATATTCCGGAACGAAATCTCTGACATTGAGGACATTTATCACGATATTTTAATAATATAAATTCCAAGTTCTGTATTGCTATAATTAGTATCACTTTTCATGACTTCCAGCTCGATTTTTTATACTGCATAAACATCTAATATACGAATATTGAGTAAATCAAAATACAGTACAACAGGCACAGAGAGTCAAACGATCATGAAAGACTGCACTACGAAATTCCGGGAAGTTCATTATGATTGTACATATTTAATTAATTAGTTTATGTAACGGAAAGAAAATGATGAAAATCCCTCCACAGCCTTTTTGTTGGACAGTATTGTCATTTATTTGTTTCTTCTACCTGTCGTATACTTTAACATTTGTTCAGATCTCATTCCAGCTTATTATGTGATTTCGATTGAAGACTTATCTTTTGGTTACCTAATTTTCTACTGCATGTTGCCGAACTATTGACAGTAAGGTCGTGTTTGACTAGGCTCAAGGTCACGGCGTGCTCCAGTGTGTGACTGATAACCTTTTGACTATTTGCTTGGGAGGATTTCTGGGATCTCTGCAGATAGATATTTGATCCCGTTTGTTGGGAATATACTTGTTGATTCTCAGGTATCGAACCCTTTGGTATTAACTGTTTCTATTATTGTTTAGCGCGCTACTTTGCGTTGAAGAAACTTCTGACTATATAGCACAGGCTGTACTGTTTGTGGTATTTTGTATTTTTTATATAATTTGTTCTATTTTCTAAATTAGAATCGTTCAAATGGAGCACAGATTTTGTGTTTTGATATAATTTAATACGAGTGTCTCAAAAACGCTTAGTGGGCTATACAGAAGAGCGTAGTCTGGACTATTTGAATACATTTTGGTTCGTCAGTCCTGCGTTCAAACCGAATATTGGCAGTTCAGTCGCTACAGTTTATTTATTTGAACACATAAACATTGGTACAATGGAAAACCAAATACATATGCGCCACACAGTAACAATGAAGTTGTAAAAAGTTAGAGAAGGTAAAGTGCGTACAAAAAAAGGTGAACAACAACGAATATAAATTAAATAATGAGAAACAAATAATGATAATTATAATATTAGAAGAAAACGTTCAGTTAAAAAAAAGTAAGTCCGAAAAGTATTCTTTCAGTTAAAGACATCACGTCCATTTTTATGAAGAAAATAAAAGTAAGTTACAGCAGGATCGCCACTAGCTTTCATTCTGAGCGCTATTTGATAATGCCTCAAGACACTGTGTCGAACCATCTCTAGAAACCCAACCAGCAGTCGTGAAAAACTGACAGAAGCCAATCCTGTACAGCTTCCTTTCATACCACAACACAATATCATACAGCAACCAGTCGGTCCCAGCTAGGCTAGGTATCACAAGCATAGAGAAAATCTGCTCTAACTGACTCATCGTATAGGCTTTTAAGATGCCAATATATCCCTCAGACACATATTTCAATAGACAACCCCAAAGAACAGTCCTGTTTAACGAAATGAACGCAGCCGTAATGTCAAGCGCCATAAATGTTGGCCTTTAATAAGTATAATGGCGTTCTTACATTTGGCGAAGAGTTAAGATAATGATTAATGCATGATCGACCAGAACAAAAACCAGCCTGCTTCTCGCGAGTCAATCTTTCTCGGGTTTTGAACAATGTGTTAATTACTACAGGCGCAACAGTTTGGACGAGATCGGATGTAGAATTATCTTCTAGATAGCTGTTTCATAAACGACGTTGTAGATCACCTACAACGTGAACCCTTTTTAAAGATAAGGACAACTATCCTTGATGTTAAAACATTCTGTAATTTCCAGACCTTTGCAAAGATTTCAGTCAGTTTATCATCCAGAACTTCACTATCATCTTTAAAAAGGGTTGGGTGTAAATCATCTGTGGCTGGTGATTTGTGGTGCGTCAGGGGTTGAGGTTTCTTTCAGATTGCCGGCTCACACAAGACGCTTCTACTCAATCATATACTTGGCTTGGTAGTCTCACGTCCATCTATTTACACTTCTATATTACACTCTGCACTTTTACGATCACCCTTATTTGTCACAACATTTAAATCAGTTACATTGATAGAATAGTATTTGGATACACTCTTAATTTTCATATTTGATTAAATAATTTAGTACAATACATGTTTTCATCATGAACTGATCGTTTAAGTAAAAATCCTGGATATTCGTATTTGTCAAAAAGCGGTTGCAAGCAAAGCGATTAGTTTTCGTAAGCTCGTCACACAGATATTGGATACCGAAAATATTTGTTATAAATCATCAAATCCATGGACTCCACAGGCACCCCGTTTCAAATGTCGACTACAGGGGATGTTTCAAAAACTACCAAAGTAAGGGTTATTTCTTGTTTTTTCATTTTAAATGAATATACGTATCTGAAAATTATTCATTCACCAGTTTTGTGTGCATAGTTATTTCAATGTTAGTACGCGTCTTGTGTTTACTACGAGCAGTTTACATTCGGACATAGGCATGAAATTAATGTTCTGACCAGAATAGCTTGCAAACGTTTCCACCAAATTGATGGATTTGTTCAAAATGTTTGTTTTCTAGTTATTCACGTGAATTCGTAATTGAAATCTACAGTCTTTGCTGTGGACTACCTCCGAAACTAGTAATTGGCATTATAACTAAGCCTAAAGTAACTCGGTTTGAGTGAGAATTTTTTTGCTCGCGGAACTATAGGTTTGCAAAAAATAGGTGGAATCTGGTTGATTTATTTCCAACTAATTAGTCATCTTTAGGAGTACTGCTCTATTCACTAGATTGAATAGTCTGTCACAGTTTCCACTGAACAATTCTAATTTTTTACAATTGATGTAAATTAACACAACCAATGTCTAGTATTCAAACTCAACTTTTAAAGGCAACCATTACACGTTTGCCTACATATATGCCTAAAAATATCCATACTTAAGTACTAAAGCCTGGATGAAGGAGCTTTAGGCGATTCTGGTTCTACAGTGACACAAACTTCAATCACATTTTATTAGCGCATTTTATTAGCAAATTTACTATTGTAATGTATTATTCAAATACTAATTACCTCTTTGGTCCTTGTTTTTTTAAGTAAAATCGTACAGTGCTAAGATCCATCTCTATCATATGTCACTATGTTACATTTCCATATCTGTATTCGTTTCAGTTTCTTTATTCTTAAAAAAATTTTTATCATTTGGAAATAACTAGACATCTTTCTAACCATCTGCGAGTATATTTGGAGATGCGATTAGTTAGAGAATCCCACTTTCATTAACCTATATTTTAACTAGTTCAGTTAAGATATCTGAGAATCATCGATAGTTTTCTTACTCAGTGTCCCACAACCCATTAACTTAATCTTTATTTGGTTGCTGAATATACTAACATCTCACGTACAAATGTTTGTCTGAAAGTCACCAATTTCTGTGAATGTTTTTTGGAGTTAGCATTTTAGATATTCTGTTCATATAGATTGGCTTGCCTGTTATAACATGAAATAATTGGTACAGAAAAGCGTTAAAGTCTGGAATTGAGAACCTCAAAATTAAATTGTGAAAGTTTCTTTTCTAATGTCGTGTTCTTTTCAACCCATGTGCCACACCACGATCCGAATTTGCTAAATTAGTCCAAAAATGATAGGATCTGTCGCATTTTAAACATACAACTGTCACCTAAGCACGCTCATAGATGGAGACATTACTTAATATAGCTTGACTAACGGTTCCAATTCAAAATTATTATCACTGTATGGTGGATGCGTGAATCTTTACTTAGTTGTTGAACTTCATTATTTCTGTATTTACTTCAATGTGATGAATATGTATTAACTAGGAACAGGAGATTTTTATGAGTTTCTGTTTAAATTGAAGTGTACGATTTAATAGTTCATAGGTATACAACTCATTTTAATGTTAACATTGTACTCCACATGCATGTAGTGTTATAATGTAATTTTAAGTCAGTATTGAAATTTTCAAATGAACTTTAATTATAATGTGTTCCCGATTCTAACCTTAGCGAGTGAGACATAAAGTGTGTAATGTGCTCGTTTGCTTGCCTTAGAAAATCTTGGTCCAAAAGAATATATTATACATTTCTGTATTTACAGATAAGTTTATTATTGGACACTAAATTGGTGAGTAAAGTAGAATATTTAATCATTCAGTGTATTACAATCTGATTACGATTCTTTTTTTGGTTTCAGGTAATTTTTAAAACTTGTAAAATGTTTAATAATCATTACCTACACTTATCGATTAAGGATTTATTGGCAGTTTATTTTTAAATTGTGTAAAACAAACTGTCAAAGTGGTTGCAAAAAAATGTGACAACTCATTGAGATTTTGTATGTCTAGCAAATCGGTCTACATAACAACCGACATCTTAGTTACTCAAAGGATGAAAGCTTCTGGCATTTATAAGGTTTTTATACTGTGCGAATTACATCAATTATCTGTAAAGTAACCACATCGATGACACTCAATTATGATAAGCATTTTCAGAGTTTTGATTTTGGATTTCGGATATTTTATTATCAGACTATTTTATTTTATTTTATTAACAACTGCCTTATAGAAACTACATTTGTGAATTCACCAGTTATGTTTTTAGATATGTACACTTTATAACTCAAGCTTGTTAATCTTTAAAAACTTTGCATACAACCTGTTTTAGTCTCCAACTAGCCATAGAAAATGTACCAATCGAATGACTGGTATGTTTCGTTTCTGTTCTACTTGCTTGCCTACTTCAAGTTCATCAGAAAAACAAGTTCATATTGCACCACCTACAGATGTAATCCCTCAAACGGTAAATTCATCAACCTAATCCAAACTGAATACTGCTAACATTTGTGGCTTATATGTAGCTTTTTCCCTTCCCTCCCACTAATAATCAGCACAGTGTTTGTGTTACCAAACTTATTTTACTGGTGTCCTCAGTATTCTATTGCTTGTTTTGTTTTATGTTTATTTAACTACTTACTGTAAATAAGGTTATACCTAGCATAAATATGCACTACTTCTATTTATCTAAATCTTGCATCTGTACAACAAAAGACAAAAGTATCAAAATAAAAAAACAAAGAAAGGAAAAAGCTAAACACGGCAAATGTATCTGCAAAGATGAAACAAATTGAAAATAGAAAATACAGATCACTTTTTAAATCTCATAAATTCTAAGGTTTGGAAAATAAACAAACTTTTTCTCAAGTGTTAGAGTAGTACACGAATGGAACTAGTACTGATAATCATATGTATCCGTATTTCTTACCCTTATCATCAAAAGAACTCGTGACTAGTACTCTGGTTGATTAGGAATGAAGCGTATCTTGACTATATTTGATGACATCAGACATGAAAATATTTCGTTTGCCGAACTCCACTATCAACATACGACAATACTGTCAGTAACAAAGACTATCATCACCAGACTGGGCACTTGGTCGATACACTATTCACAGTCTGGGATCACATTGTACCAAGTACACGACTCATGACCAAATATAGAGAACCAGAGTATAGACTAGACAATACGTTACTCAACACAATTACAACCACTAATTAAGTCCAAATTAGGAATCAACAGTGGGCTGGAAATAACAAATAGTCAATAAGCTGAACGCCTGTTAATCTACGCTCAGTGACTAATCACAATTTATTTTCTCTAGTTAAACATCAATATCAGGCGTGATGTTCTCATCTAATGTGTACTTAAAGTACTTTCTCAATCTGAAAGATCGTGTTGTCACTCAAAAAATATATGACATTTATCCTCAGATTCACTTTCATAAACATAACAAACCTCAATCGTTTATCTCCCTTATCACTGAAATTATATGGAGGAGTGATATAACTTTTGTTCACACGTCAATTTCAAGGAAACCATATATTCGTTACACTTTTATTCCTTCATAAAGTTGGATTTTTCTCCGCGCCAAAATCCTTCATCTGATCCGACCTTCAACCACTTTATTGTGACCAAAGAGGTTTTATCTCTAATGGTTTATTAATCAACATGCTATTAACCCCTTTTGGAGCCTTGCCAAGATTTCTGCTGGTTCCAAGTCCGGGTAAAGAAGGTTTGATCTCTCCAAAATTAGGTTATTACAAATGCTACCCGACCAACTGACACTGATTACCCTGCATACATAACTTTGTATAGATAACTGTACCTTTTTGTAATATAGTTGTAGTAACCCTCCAAGTTTTAACTCCATACAACAGAACTATTTTGAAGTTTGCATTGAAAATGCTGACTGATGTTGGCTGATAGTTATCTCAATTACCATATGCTATGTTCTTCAGTGGAAGGAATGCTGCACTTACCTTGTCAATTTTTGCCTTCACATCTGCATCAGATCCTCATTGTTCATCAATGATGCTGCAAAGTTACTTACCACTTTCCACCTCTTCAATAGATTGATCTATGCCATCTTTGTTGTATTTGAGGATCTTGCTTTTTACTTTGTGTATGTTGAAGACGACTTATGTACAGGCTTTTACTAAATTGATTGTCTTCACCTGCATTTGTATCTGTGTATGAGATAGAGCGGCTAGGTTGTATGCAAAGTTCAAATCACCTAGCCGCATTGAAGCTCTCCATCGCATTCCGTGCTTTCCCTGAGATGAAGAGGTCTTGACAATCCAGTCAACCACCGGAAGAAAAATAAAAGGAGAGAGTGAGCAGTCTTGCTTGACACCGATCCACACATGGAATGCATCTGTCTTCCATGCTCGACTTTGCAGTGTACTCCGTCGTATGAATTCCGGACAATGCTGACGATCTCAGGTACACCAGTGTTAAAGAACTTTTAATAGGGTTCTTCTATTCAAACGCTTTCTCATATTCAAGGCAAGTGATGTATGATCATGAATTCCATTCAATTGAGTGCTCAACAATGATCCGTAGTGTCGTGAGTTGATCTGTGCACGACCGATCCTCAAGGAATCCAGTCTGTTGATCTCGAAGTTGGACATCTGCTGAACTTTTCTTCCTTTCAGCAAAATTCTGTTCAGAACGTTTCCCGGTACTGGTATTAGTGTGATTTCACTGCAGTTCTCACTTTTGCTCAGATCTCCTTTCTCTGGTATTTTAATCAAGTAAAGTTCTTTCCAATCTGTCGGCACTTGTTCTTCCAAATATTCCTGAGTACCATAAGGAACATCTTTGCAGTTAATTCTATGTCTGACTTCGGCACTTCAGCTGCTATGTTTCTTTGAGTAGATGTTGAAGAATTTGAAACCTGTTGCTGAGATCTATTTTGGATTTGTTGAGTTTGTGAGTATCTCGAACGAAGACTGTACTATACAATTGTAAGTCTGTTTCTCCAGTAGTTGTCCAGTGCTTCTTTAGCTTGAGTCTTATTTCGGTCACAACCAGGTGAAGATCTGAAGCTATATTAACTATCCTCGTTGTTTCTACGTCTTCCATTGATCTTCTGAACTTTTTATTTGTACGGGTATGATCGATCTAGTTCTCTGTGGTGTGGTTCGGTGAAATTCATGTAGCTTTGTATATGTTTGTGAGGTGAAATTGTGCCGCCCACAATCATTTTTTTTAATTGAGACCATGGATAGATCAATGTTAAACCACCACTAGAAACCTTGAAGCACTGGGCGGCGGTTTCGTGCTAGTATGGGAGTACTCAGCAATGCGCATCCATAACTACACACGCAGGACTCGAACCCAGTACTTCTGGTTTCAGCAACACGTTCCAAAGTTTTACAAAAATCTACTCATAGAAGCAAACTAGCTGATGCACTAAAGTCAGACATAGAAGAAATTGCAAAGATGTTCTGTGTCCAATTGGTTTCACTCATTCCGAGCACCATCAGGTTATATCTTGTCATTTCCAAAGCTATTTGAGTAGTCCTCCCGGTCTCCCACATTGCTCGAGCATTCCATGTGCCTATATTAGTTGTTTCTCTGTTGTTAAAAGGGACATCAGTCAGTCTCGTGACTTTCAAAGAATCTGGTCTTCTAAATGAAGCTTCTTCAGCTCTTAGGTTCGAGTTTAGATTGTTTGAATGATTGTTTCTGGTTAGCGTTTTGTTTAGTAAGTTTGTATTCTACAGGACGAAGTTATCGACCACATGCCCAACTCTCCTTCTTTACCCGGGCTTTAAACCAGAAGTAATCTTAGAAGTGCGTCATGCTGAGAAGCAAACATACTGTATTTTGAATGTGCACACCAAATATAGAGGAAATCGGCAAAGCTCAGAATAATCATGAATGGCAAGTTATAATTACCAGGTATTTAGAGATAACAGCAGAGATTTCCTACATTATGTTCTGCAGGATTTGGCTGAAAGAATAAGTACTAACAGGCTGGAAAAACAAACATGTTATCAAGATAGTGACGTAATGAACTATTGGTGATCTTGAAAATAACAGAGGTGTCATGTTACTGCCAGTACTAGAAGTTTTTGACAGTGTCGCTGAACCGATTGAAAGATTTGATAGACACCCAGATTCGAAATTACAATACTGGCTTTCCTAAGGGTCAATCATGTGCTGAGTGAATCGTGACACTGCTATCATTGTTGGACAACTAGTCAGATGGAACTTTCCACTTTACGTCAGCTTCCTAGATCATGAAAAAGGGTTCAACTCTGTGACTTGTAGAATCTTCAACACTGTGGAGTGCTTGAAAAAATCATCATTCGCAACTCCAAGGACCAACTGGGTTGCAAGGTTGTGCATGGATGGCAACTCACTGATGCATCGCGAATTAGAACTGTTTTTAAACAAGGCTACCTATTTTCACCTTTTCTCTTCTGATCGCCTCAATAAAATTATAGGAATGCAGTGAACACGTAAAATGCAGCCAGATGACTTACTTCTATCCGATATACTTCAACAGATCCAGATGAAAACCATCGGTGTAGCATCGGCTTCGGCGGGGAAAAGCGAAATTGTAAAATACACTAGTAAGTAATAGTCAAATCACACTTGATCGAGAAACTCATAAAGAGACAGAAGCCTTTACGTACGTGGGCAACTTCATTGATAAACATATAGGATGTAATGTCGATATGGAGGCACGAGATGGAAAAACAAAGGCAGCAGTCTTGGAGTTGAAGAATATCTGGAACTTAAGAGAGCTGTCATAAATGACCAAAGTTATGATTTTCAACACTGGCATTAAAACGGTGCTCTTGTACGAAGCTAAAACTAAGAACTATCGCCATCAAAACAGTTTAAGTACTTATAAATACTTGTCTGCACAAGATACTCCAGATCAATTGGCCAGAGACCGTCAGGAATGACCTGCCATATCGGAGAACAAACTAGGCTTCAGTTGAAAAAGGAATTAGGAAAAGATAGTGAAAGTGAGGAGGACACTATCCAGAAACCACTAGACTGGATTACAAGACAACCCTTAGCTTAAAATTCTCAAGACTTATAACTCTGGGATTCGGAAGCAAGCATCAGGAGTATTAGTACTACTTAGCAAGAACTAAAAATGTGAGCGCAGCACAGAGTTGTATGGAGATCCCTAGTCGGCCTACGCTCCATAAAGGGTAAAAAACAGGTCTAAATAATTAATATGTTAATATTTTGTTACCGCACTTCCAAAAATACTGTAAACATAGTTATACCTGGCTGCTGCTTGCTTAAATTCATGTTATTTGATCTCTTTCAATAAATGTTTGGACTAAAATTTATATTTTAAACAAGATAAACGGTGTATCGTGTATTATATCTTGATTGGTCAACTACCGATTTTGTTAGTAATGTTAACATGTTTCCAAACTCTTCTAGAGTATCAAGGTCATACAAACGTACGAATGTCCTCGTTTTGTGTACTTAGACTAACTTTTAGATAGCTTCTCCCCATAATACTTGCTCTTTGTCTTCTTCTCAGGGCTCAATTATCGAGGAGATTACTGGACTACTAGGAAGTGATTAGGAAATTATTATCAAGCGTTTAACTACTAGTTGTATTGAATGGCGCTACAACTGTACTCCTAAACTCCCTAATTTTCAGTGGTTCTTCAGTTGATAACTTATTTCACAATGCAAAATTCTCTTCAAAATATCACTTATTAATGAAAAAAAGTTTCTAGATAAACTAAATTCAATTGGTAGCTCAGAAGGTAAGGCACTGAACTTTCAGCTATTAAGTCGTGGCTTCAAATCTCCTCCCCACTTTGATTTGTGCAATCAAATTATATCATTAATCCTCATAGTTATAGTGTGAACCGAAACGAAGTATATAAATTTTTCCTGGTCAGTGAATTAGATTACATTCACTTTTTTTTATTATTACCATTGTTATAATTGCATAACACCAGTAATAGCCAATTCAGCGGCGTTTGTTGCTATTTCTGTGCACATTTATACTGTCGGATTATTCTCTTACCATTATCGTGCCATACTACGCTGCATATTTTTAAAATCTTAAGTAGGAAAAAATAGGTCTCCTTTTAAAATAGTTCATCTTTCTCTCTCTCTCTCTCTCTCTCTCATAATCTGGATCTTTTTTTTTCATTTTAATTCTTTATAGCGTAAATCACTTGATCGATATGAAAGAATTGGAAATTTATTAGAACAATTTTTAAAAGGAAAGTTACAGCATGTTTATAAATTTACTGATTTACCAGGTAAGAAAAATAATAAAAAAAACAAGCGTAAATACTACTCTATAATCCCATTTCAGTTGAAAATTTACTCTTTTACACGTAATTTCTTTTCCTTCGAAAGTTGAGTTAAAACAATATTGTGGGAGGTGAAACACTTGTGACTAATGATAGTGGATAATTGATACCCTTTATCATAGATTGGTTGAAAATAGAATTATACCACTGGACATCGTACAGAGGTTAAGTCGTTGACCGCGAGACCTGAATGTCATAGGTTAAATTTGTGACGAGGTCGTAAGTGCGCATTACTGAGGAGCGTTTATACTAGAATAAAACAACTACTCAGTGCTACATAGTTCCCAATAGTGCTCCAACTAAAATCAATCTTTGATGAATACAACCTACAAAAGTTGATATTGTTTAAAAAACAAAACAGTGAAGACATTGTGCTTGATAGTTATGTACATATTCATTGTTTATTTCGAATAGTGTTTTAATTTCCAATCATCGAACTACAAGTTGGAACTATACTTCCTCACCTTACTTTCATTTAAATAATCAACTAATTAGTAACATTACTGGCCAGATATTTAAATATATAAACTAAGCGTTTGATTTAAAGTCAAGAATTCCAACTTATAATTTGGTAAGTTATGATAGATGTTTATTTCAATACATTTATCGTTATCGAAGTTATGAATAAAATGATACACTAAAGCTTTTAGTGTACCCAATTACTTTTAACAATGAAAACTTTCTTCAAAATGAACTATCTCTTAATAATTAACATTTCATTGTACTAATTTGTATTACTTACTAAATTACCATTATCTTATTAGGTAGGTTCCTTTAACTTTGGACTGGGGGAAGAGTTGACAATGTTAACTATCATTGTTATTATTAAAGAAACAAATTATTCCTTTCTACTATTCATTATTAACAGTTCAAAGTTCTTTCTTACATTTTCTAGTTTGCAACAAAACAAAAACATTGTGAAATATGATACGATAATGTGTCATACCCAACAATTATATTTCGTAATAGAACAGTAATGAATATTATTAAGCAGTACAGCGCAACACATAATATGTGTATATAAAGATGACAGACATGGCAAATCGGCTTATCAGATGATAAATCTTCAATGATTGAAATGGTTGGGAGATGTATTACAAATCAATAATTACTGCTTACTTGTACGGGTGATGTTAGCTAGCATAAGAATATGTTGAATGGAAGCTAGAAGCAACTTGACTAAAACTTAACATCATTTTATGATGTTTTTGACTATTTGTGTAAACCGTTATGTGGCAGGCAAAGACTATGTGGTTCGGATTTTGGCCAGTAGTTGCTGACGTTTAATGACGTGGCTCACAATTGTGCAGATGGGTTCACTTTTTGTCTTCCTTCAAATTTTGGGTTTTGAAATTATCTTATACTTGATATTTCACAAATGTATTCCTTCTTTGTGAATTTTATTGTCTCGGTTTAATATTTTATACCATCACAGATACTGTTACTATTTCCTTTACTGTGGCATTTGTCTTGATATTTTCATCTCATTATGTCGTTGTAGTGTGAGACGACTTAAATAGATGCACACACACACAAAGGTTCTGTGTTACTTATGAATGACTGATGTGGATGAATCTTTGTTATTTCTATGATTTTAAAGCTTTGATCATTTAAAACATTCAATTGAAGATCTCATTTGTCTCAAGGATATCCATAGATCATTCTTTTTTTGCTGTCAAGCGAATAGCATCTTTTTTGCTTCACATCATGTCAATTAAATTAACTTTTGGAAACATTGATTCCATGTTAAAATAACTTCAGACAACAATCAAACCAATATCTGTCCTCCGAATTTGGATATTTGGTTTTGGTTTTTTTCCTTAAATACTAAACTGATGTACTTTCTTTTTTGTAAATATACATTGACTTATCCAAATTTCTACTTCATTTTTGCATTGTATCGTAGTTGCTTAAAATAGACTGGTAGTTATTTTCACTTTGAAAAACTACTCTATAATAAGTAACCTTACTCACTCATATCCATTCTGTTGAGGTCACTTATTATTGATATACACTCTTAAGTTGCTATAACAACAAAAACAACCGCTGAATGATTATCATAATTTCTCAATTTCTGTTTGTTAACTAAAATAAAAGTTAATTATGATCATTCTGGAAGATTCACTATGGATTATTTTGTCTCTTATGGTTGATAGATATTAACATCTTGACTTCACTCTTTATTGCATTCTAGATTTTGAGTTCCAGTATTCTATCGCACGCACCTTTTTATTCTGTCTTCCCGAACTATATGTCAGTGCTTAATCTTCCTCTTCATGACTGTTAGCACATCAATTCCTTTGTTTACACAACTTGTTGGTCCCATTGAAATCACCGACCGACCTAAGTTAGACAACTACTGGAAACCTAGAAGTATTAAACGGTTGTTTCTTCCTAGTAGGCGACTACTTAGTGGTGCAGATCCATAATCCCGCAACGGGGAATCGGACCTACGACCTTTGGTCTCGCGCGCGGACGCCTAACCTCTGGAACACTGGGCGGGGACTGAATGATGTGCCAGACTAACTTCAATCAATCTACAATGTGCAACCATCCTCCATTGTCTTTTGTGAGTACCTTTCTCACACCCAACATGGTTGTTAATTTCATCTCGTCGTGCCAATGCGGTTTGCCAACTTGGGATTACGCACATTTGTACCATACTTTACATCGATTTTAATTAACTGACTGACCACTGGAAGATTGATTTTTATGAATCTTAGATATAAACCATCATTCATTGAAATCTTATTCATCTGCTATAAATAAAATCAAATTTCGAAATGTAAATTGGCATAATACTTACATCATATTTGTCAATTTTCTCAGGCGTTGGAAGTTCAGACTTTCTTATATTCAAAGATCCATCTCTAACTTAATTGTTACTCTTCAGTACACTCACTGACTGATCTTTTATAAGCGTGCTGATATATATGTAGACAATTGACACTGACATTTAAAAAATAAATCAGTGTACTATACTTCAGTATAAAATAGAAACTTCGCATTGAAATCTATATAGATTTTTATGACCAGGCAAATACTGTTCATTAAAACTGATTCTCATTCTATCCTTATCAAACTGTGTATTATTTAACTAAGTTTCTGATTTTATGAAGATCGTGTTAGTCTTTGATGTGATCATACAATAACAACCTTGAGCGACATATCATTCAATCAGAAAACAGTATAATTACAAGGCTATTTAGGGGAAAAAGTAATGATGTGGTGATGGATATACGTTCTCAACCTGGTAACGAAAAGTTTAGCGTCTAGTACAGCTACACAGATGATTCATCCTAACTTTTGGACAGACTTTAGTGACCAGACAACATATGATTATTGAGTTATTCTTACCATCATAGGAAATATGACCTTCAGCACAAACTATGTCCTTGTGATTCTACTCTTATGAACTTCATATGTGCTGTGTATGTGTCCGTCACTCATTGTTTCCCTCAATACCTCTTTATTTGTCACACTATGATTTATCTATTTTGAGCTAAATTAACGCTTGTAATGAATTGTAAAAGGGAGTAGACTTTCTTGAGTTCTGCGCTTCGATTTTCTGCTTCATATTTTCATGTCTGTCTGAAATAAATACATCCGATTCAATCCTTATTTGACTTATAAATCCCGTCGCTCAAACGAGATTACCCTGGGTGTTAAATGGAAGATTTATGTTCACGATATATTCGTTCTTTCGTCCAAATTGGAGTCAGATCTCAGGCCACTAAAAATGAATTAAGATTAAGATTACGGATAAGAAGTCCGTCTAGACTCAGCAGTTACAGTTAGTATTGTCAAAGTTAAGAGTTAGGGTTATAATATCCTAGATTACTTGACTACGCCCTGAAGTACATCGTTGCTCTCAGGTACGATCTGCGTCAGGAGCATGTAATTCTTGTAATTTGACTTATGCATCATGTCAAACTTATTATATGGACTCTTAAAAATTTCTTAACAGTCTTGAGCACCTTACAAGATAATTATGAACAATTTTACTTATTTCATAGTTAGATACATGTTATGCTGCATTTTACTTGGCACAAAATCCAATAACCACTATCTTGGATCTGATTGGTTCCCTCAAGGTCGTTGCTGGTTTATACTCTCGTAATGATTTTTTTATCACTAACTTGGGTTTAAATTGAATAGCTACTCAAAACCCAAGGATACTGAGCAGTCACTTCACTCAAATTCTGAAACTCTTAAACAAAATACACACACCACAGACTCTCGAAATCTTCCAGTCCCATGATAGTCATGGCTTTGAGAAGCTTCTGACTATCTGCATTTTCAATTTCCGTCGTAACCTTTATCCAATGTTGACTTGCCTCCTTCTGGATTTTATTAACTCCAGAAGTCACAGCTTCCCATTCAAAAGCTGCTCAACGTTGCTAGTGATCATACTACTTACTATTTAATTTGATGCTTTCGTGCACAGCTTTTCTACAATTCCAGGATGGTGTTCATTATCTTTATTGAAAACACTTGAATCTTGAGTGTGTTTACCCATTACTGTCTAACAGTCCTCATATTAAGATGCAACAATTGTGTCTAATGCATTGATTTCATTTCACAACAAATAACTTGTGTTTCTGTTCCTCTTTCTCTTTGTTTTCAGATGGTTATTTCCTAATTGATGAAATTATTCAATTACCTGAATTCAAAAAAGAACATTGTACATATGATGAAATTATTGATGTTGTACATAATGATGCATTATTACGATTCAGTGTTAGAGGATCAAAAGTTCGCTTGAAACCGCCTGAATTAAATGTATGATGATATTTCATATTTCAACTTTTCTTGATTTTTTTTCATGATACTTTAGAAAGACCCTGATGTAATTTTATCAAAAAAGTTAGCTTGGATTCTACGTCATGGAGCAGAGAATGTCGGAATGAAATATGAACCTGGTATGTATGTGTTATTTTCATGTCATAGGTTTTTTTTATCTAAGTATTACCATGGGACAATGTTGGATGAATTGATTGAACACATAAAAAGGTGACCGGACTGCTGTAGATAATTTATTCACTAAACTGTTCGCTAAATCTTCACCTAAATGAATTTCATAATAAAAGTAGACCATAGTGAAGATGTTTAGCAACTCTCGAAGTAACTTTGAGAAATTAAAGTCAATTTTTAGCCAGTAGGAATGCAGGTTACATAAATGAATAATTTATTACATCAACAAAACCAAAATTTTCTACAGGTAATCGACCAGGACTTAAGGTTAGAAATCAGAATACAACGTAAGCAATTAAGAGTAGTGATAACAAATTGGATGGACAAATACTCTCCAGCCTTATATTGTTGAATACTTTAAATATCAAAAACTTCAAAGTTATTTTCGTAACTTTATAAATTATCGTCCCTATCCTTCTCATATTTATCGGTTTTTGGTAATTAAATACTCTGAGTATTTATTCAACCTTCAATACAGTACAAGCTATTTGCTATTGTGCTTCGAACTTTGCGCAAAAATCCAATAGCCACCTTAAATCTGATTGATCTGTCAATATATGGTATTTTTGCTTAAACTGTTTTAATGAAATAATTTTCCCGTGATCAGACAACAAATGATGAATGAGGGTTGTACGGGATCGTGAATTAACTGAAATAATATATTAACATCATTGGGTCCAGGTTGATTGGTGTAAAGGTTGGACAGTCACGCACGAGACTGAAGGTCGTGGGTTCAATTGCTAGTCACGAAGTCATGGATACTCACTGTTATGCAATACCATGCTAGGATAAAGCGGCCGTTTAATGCTTCCAGATTTTTAATAGTGTTTTGGATAAGATCAATTTATGATTTCGACTGTGAAAATAATTGGCCAATCATGAAAATAAAAGTTACAAAGTAATCAATATAGCATCATATACACCCATTGTATCTTTTTGTACATACCATACCACACTAAATATTTGACAAGATTTATACTGCACAAAAAGGTATTTAACCTACGAGATAGCTGTACAATGATTTGAATTCGAAGTGAATGAATACGGTAGTACTACGAGCTAAGTTTCGTTTAATATATATCGATTCGAAATACATTTGCTGAAGTAGAAATAGGGTAATCAAACGATACGATAATTTTCTACATCTGGTTAGACTGTTATTGATATAACTTGTGGTTTACAATATTTCCCTTTTTATCTCTGCGGTTTACTACATGACGCTAGATTGGATGCTTGAAAGGTACACAATTCACGATCATGAATAGAGAACCTTAGTAAATGCTAGACAATACTTGATTACGCACAATTACAAGCAATCTACACTCAACGAGTTAGGATTAGAAATCACCAAGAGGAAAGGAGATCATATATTTCATAGTCAATAAGTTAAGTGACTTTGTCCACGCTTAGGGACCAATAATATTTTACTCCCACTACCACACATCAATTATCTAATTTTTAAAGTTGAATTCACGAATCAATTTAAGTTAGACCACTATTGAAAACCTGAAAGTACTGGATAGCCGTTTCGTCCCAGTATGGGACTCCTCAACATTGCTTCCAGGTTTTCAATGGTAGTTTAGCTTAGATTGATTCGTGAATTCAATTGTTAAAATACTACAATCTCCACAAATCCCCATACTGATAATTATCTAGTTGTTTAAACCGCATTTCAAATGAATCAGTGTTCGAGCTCGTGACCTTAAATGGTGATAATTGTTAGATATTCTGACCTTACTCAACAATTATCTATGATATATGTAAAGTATATTTAATAAAAGCTAATTGTTATTCTTACTATAGGAAGCATTTTAGAGAGATTCTTGAATTTTATAGTTCACATGACGCTACTAATTGATTTACTTTTACTAATATTATTAATATTTACTTGTTTTTCATTAAATTTCTACAGGTGGTTACCTTTATGTAGATAAAATACTTCAATTGAAACCATTTCAAGGGGTTCGGCTAGAAGATATTTCACGTGTTGTTAATTCGAACGATAAAAAACGCTATGAACTGTCGACAAATCCAGAAAATGGTCGGTTACGAATCAGAGCTTATCAAGGTCATACTGTTACAGTAAGTGAATAAATGTATCTGGACATAATTTCTCTTTTTTTTCCGGTCGTTTATATTTCTTGTTCCTTGTGAATATAGACATAAATGATATATCTCAGAGTATTTGAAAGCGAAGTAATCAGTTTGATATCAAGGATTATATTATGAATGGACGTGATTTCTACAGTATATTTTCTACTTGTTATTTAATTCATCAGTTAAATACAAATACAAATACATAACTTTCAGCTACACACATGTATGTTGTATACTATCCTTTCGGTGCGCAAAGCACCTTAATATTTGTTGACTCTTCAGTGAAACTACACATACTATCTAACTAGTGCCAGGTCTAATAAATGTACATATTAGAAGTTCTGATGCCTATTTAAAGATAAATGTATGAGAGAGTACGTTATCGTCATTATGAGTTTACTGATTAACAAAAGTGTGTTAAGTTTTACAAATCATGTATTTTTACAATAGTAGTTCGTTTATACTACAGTTTTTTTATTGCACTTGTTGTTAGTAATCGGTAAGAAACCTTTAAACCCTTAGTTTTGTGCTACTTGGGTAGTTATCAACAAGATGTACGTTCAATATGTATCTAGTTATAAGTCATGTGTCTACCTGTTAAATCAATATTTGAGTTTACTGTTCGTCGTTTCGTTTTATATTGTTTTACTACTGTAAAATTATGATCTATGAAGTTAAGAAACATAGGTGTAACCCTTTGCATTTGTTTGTCATTATATAAACTTCAAAAAGTCAGATAACACAACACAAAATCACCTACTATTCATTATCACGGCAAAATTCATCCATAAGAATCACGTACCCAGTAGATAAAAAACAAACATCTTACTGAATAATACGGATTATTTATTACCGGACTTAATCATCCCGATTATCAATATAATATGCCAAATAAACAAAATATAAAATGAACAGGTAAGAGTTTACTTCCACTTAAATATCAAAAAGCATACAGGTTATTTATCTGTCTGCAAATTAAAGGGAAAGTATACTGTTCATAAGTCCACATCGTATTGCTTTACTACTGTGAAATATACCCAATGAAAGCACAAACCATGTATGAACTGCAAATATATATGATGAAACCACTAAGTGATTCTGTGGTTAGGTATAGAATACTAGGTAGAATACAAGAATGTTGGTTGATAAAATCCATCAACTGACAGAATGAGCTAGGAGTCTCTAGATTAAAACAGGATATCAGTGCATGAAATCGTCGAGTGCCTAGTCTATGCCACGTTGGAAGATGAAAAATTATGAATTTAACTTTGTGAAATTGTTTTAAACCATATTTGTAAGCAACCCCTCTCGCAGTCCCACCAGTGTTTTTTCTGGTCCAAAGTTCGGGTAAAGGAAGAGATTCGGCAATAAGGTTAACAACCACAACCCGTAAAAAAGATACTCACTCGAAAACGCTAACGAGAAACAATCTAAACTCGAACCTGAGGGTTGGAGATTCTTCATTTAGAAGAATTATGACGATTTACGGTGAAAGACGAGATTATTTGGGAGTCACGAGACTGACTGATGTCCCTTCTAACAACAAAAAAAAACAACTAATATATGTACATGGAATGTCCGAACAATGTGGAGATCGGGAGAACTACTCATAAAGCTGTGGAAATGACAAGATACAACCTGATGGTGCTCGGAATAAATGAAACCCATTAGAGGCACAGTGGACAGAAAAGATTAACTTCAGGGGAGATGCTGTTGCACTCTGGTCATGAATAAGAAAATACTTCGTACATACAAGGATTTCCGGTGATGTTATTTAAAGGGGTATGGGAAGCACTCATAGGATGGGATTATAAAAAACCAATAACGCGAAGTTGCCTGGAGGTGATGTGCCCCAATAAGCACTAACAGTAATATATCTCTGTAGACAGCCTGGATAAGATTGAAGAAGTAAGAAACATGATGACACCAATGAATAAGAAGGGAACAAGAGTGAAGAAAAAAAACCAAGACACAAGTTGAATATACAAGCGTGTGAAAACGAGCATTATGGGTGAGAAGCAGAAATTATGTAGTGAATCTTACAAGTATAGCATATAAGCTATAAGAGAAGGGAAATATGGGAGAAATTATTGGATGAAGTATTACTAATCATAGTTTAATCTCAGTAACGTTAAATAATCTATAAGTAAAGTACTACTTATGAGCTGTATAAAATCATCCTGCTAAAAGTTAGTGATTATTTTATGAAACTATACTCACATCATTATAATGAATTACACTACAATTAGATACTATTGACTAGAATAACACCTTAATAAATTTTTAATCTAGTTGGATAAAATAATTTATTTGTTACTGACTAATGATAAGTTATAAATGTCTATATTTTTTTATGATTACAGCTCACAGATAAACTTAACGTGTTCCTATTTTTAAACCGATGTCTTATTGTAAATAATGCTCACTTTGAAAAATAATCTCTGTGTGTGAATGAATGAATGAATGAATGAATATCCTCTAATAGATTACGGCTTAAACGGTATATAGGGCTTCGGCACTTTCGAACGTCTGGAAACTCAAGATTACAAATCAAGAAACGGAAGAAACCTGGAAAAAAAGGTTCTTAAGTATCAGAAATGTACGTAGAAACAGGGGGGTATTTATATTTCTTAGTATGGGCTATAACATCATAATACAGTCAATCATACCATATCACGTCGATATTCTGGAGAGTTCTATCGAGTTCTGATCAGATCCAATCTGTTCGAATCGTTTATAGCCTCTGGAGGCTTTGTCGCGCTTTCTGGGAGCCGTCCCAATAGTAATAATAAATGTAAATTCAGTCAGTCAGTCAGTCAGCTACAACGTAGGCCAGGCACGTATATGCATCGGTCCAAGTTTCCATACCTCATTAACACAACAAGATGAACACCGAATTTATAGTTTGGTCTCTAAGTTAATTATTGATAAGTAATTGGTTAATTAAAATATTTCTTTTACTAACCAAAAGTACTTTACAATCAAATACTAGAAAAAATAGGCTTGTAAAAAGTCAACACTGAGTACCTTAAAGTAACCTTTTACTCACCTACAAGTTTGTACATGTCTAGATCAGTAAAGTTATTTTGAATGAATTTGTAGCAGACAAATCTCGTTATCAGTTTATGATATAAAATCTATGAAAATTCTATAATTTCTACAAAATCCTTTACTGACAACAGTCATGTGCTTATTAGCATCTATCTTCTAAATGCAATTCTTGGAATTCTAATGGGAAGGTGTAACTAGTAGAGTTCAGTAATGTGTGGTGTAAGATAGTTATCCAACTCAGCTATTGAGTGAAGGTTGTTCAGTATCGTGAGTCAATTGAATTCATTTATTAAATGTGTACACCCTTTCGTCCCTGCCCAGTAGTCTAGGGGTTAGACGTTTGCTTATGAAACTGAATATTCTGGGTTGGAATCCCTATGGTATGATCGTGTATGGACACTACTGAGTGGTCTCAAACTAAGACGAAACGGCTATCCAGTGCCTCTAGGCTGTTAATAGTGGTTTGACTAAGACCAGTCCGTGATTTAAACTACGAAAATTCTACAATCTGCGCAAAACCCTATACTGTTATTTTCTTGATAATTCGTGTATATTCCCACATAATTGCTCCCTACTAATCATATCAATTTGCATGTATATGTGAGCGTGTGTGCCTGTGTGCATGCTCATCTAGCTTACTCGACTATTTAGCCTCCCAACGGTGTTGTACGACTAAGTGTGGGGATATTCCTTTCTACCTCTAAAGATGCTATTAAATGGCCACGCGTATATAGCCACTCCCAGGCAAGTCCCATTCATCACCTTATCGCAATGGAAGTGTTGTTTACGAAACTGAGAAAACTGAAAGCGAATGTCCGGCGGTTAAATCGGGTTAGTAGGTACGGAAGACCCACCTAGGGAAGTTAAAAAGTCGTGATTCCAAACCAATGAGCTCCATGATCCATAGGGAGCAAATAGCGTGAGAATCTGTTGCTGGTCATCGTTTACCATTGGACTGCATCTCCCAATGTTTATCTGGCCTACTCATTCTCTTACGCGCCTAAGCAGTAATTCCCTAACCGCTCTACTACTAATTTTCATGTTAAATATTGATTGATGGATTTTCTATTTCCCTTTTGTGGTTTCTAGAGTGTAACAAACTGATTTTTTCAACTGAAAGTATTTCTATCATAACAGTCTATTTCATTTCTATCTTCAATGACATTAGTAGTGTAAAGTTAGGATAAAATCTAATACACTGAACAAAGGATATTGTTTTTATTAAATTCTTTACACGTTCTACAGTTATATATATATATATATATATATATATATATATATATATATATATATATATCCACCATTATTTCTTACCGAATTCGTATAACATGAGTATTTGATCAGATGTCTAATAACATTTATTATTTCTCTCTTATAATATGTTATCCTTATTTATTCCGATCCTTATATCATACAATGCCAAGTGAACACATAAACTTATTCAAATTTAACATTGCATATAACTCGTTTTAAATAGTAGCAATTTTCAGTATGAGGTTGTGAAGATTGTTGAATTTCATTGGAATCATAAACTGGTGTAATTTAGATTACCATCGAAAATTTGGAAACACTTGACAGTTGTTTCGTTCTAGTATGAAACTCCTCAGCAGTGTGTGTTCACAACCCTACACGCTGGGACTCAAACCCAGAAACTTTGGCTTTGCACGTGAATGCTTAACCTCTAATACTTTCCGCTTTTCTAAATTAGATCAGTTCATGATTTCAATTAAATTAAGAATTTTATTGTATTTTACAAACAATCCTAAGTATACAAGCTATAATCTTAAACAATCTAGTTTGCCTTAAACTTGATCTTCGTTTTTCTGGAATGATTAAATTGGATATATAAGTGTAAAATTAAAAGACAATTTATTGAAAAAGTATGTTCTTCGTTTATCTATCAGTATTTTAATATTTTTTCTCCAATTAAGTCA